AGATTTAGATTGCAAAGATCAGAAAATACAACAGAGCTTGCAGCCCTAACAGTCAGCGAAATTTGCAGTTGTCCTATTGCTGAGACACACCATTATTTAAAAGTTTACTTAACTTGCCCGATAGACAAGTAAAAAATTGCAGAAAGTACTCTGACATATCAAAATGTCAACAAGTAAGAGATAAAATGCAAGATATCAAATACAATTAGTTTGCTTACATTTATAACTGTTTTTACTGAAGATAAGTTTGCATATTTGATCAATAATTGCTTAGAAATGTCCTGATAAAAATATTCGGGCAACCAGTTTTTACTTCGGACAACCAAATTTTCTTGAATTGGTGACCCAAATGACAACAATTATTCAACCCTCATTTCACAAACTGCCCTTTAATTTTAAATTTGACCCTTAATTATTTCAAATGACCCCCATATTTTAATACAAAGGGCCACAATGATCCTCAAAAAAATTAGCCTGGTTGCTTAGATTTTGGTCAGAAAATGATTTTATTATGGTCAGATACTGGTTAAATTTTTGTAAGAACCTGGTTAGATTCAGGTCTTAAATAAAGAAAGAAATGTAATTGGTTTATAGCTGAACGGGGCAAAAGTTTTAGTCATATGTGAGTCACGTACGACTAGCTAGGACTAGGGTTGGATATCGTTCTTCACGAAACGGTCCGATACCGATACCGGTACCGACGAAACGATACGGGTATTTTATCGATACTGATACTGATACTTTTACAATACCAAACCCTTTGCTGCAAGTATAAGAACTGAAGAGATATAACATCAGGGCTCGCGCTGGCAGGAGCCAATGAGCAAATTGGCTCCAAAATTATTAAATTGGCTCAAGAAAATCATGATTGGCTCCAACTTACGAAAAGTATGACTTTTGGAATATCCAGTCTAAATTTAGCATTTGCTATTTTAAGAATGGAAAAGTACACATTTGGTTTTCCATTTACAACTTCCGCTTTACCCTTCTTATCACAAAACACTGCGACACAGTCTGCTTTTTGTGGGGTCATTGACTGGTCTATATTTGTTACTTCCCTTCCAAATAAAATATCGTTATAAACAGTAACACAGTCTAATACACTGACCTCATGGTATGTTTACATGTTTATCAGCTGATAAATATGACACTAATTGGTGTGAATTGTTGAATGTGCACTGGATAATTGGTCTTTATATTCGATATGAAACAATAACTAGCAGCATCTTAAGATTATCGCCAATCATATCAACAGCTTGGTTATGAAATGGACGACTTTACGGTAAGTTTGCAATCATATAATTTTATTGTTGTTGATAAAACGATCAAAGGAATTATGAGTTATAGAATAGAAGTTTGTTTTTTTAAAATTGCAAATTAAATCTGACCTAATAATGGCTCCAAAAAAGCATAAATTTGACAAAGAGTATATTTGACAATTAGTATTCCTGAAAAAAAATTGAACTTACTTTGTACATAACCTCTATCTGGAGCATTCATTTACAAATGGCATACATGGCTGTGAAATGTTTATGGAAAATTCAAGAAGCATACAACATATTTTTAGGAAACTTATGCTAATTACTTTACTCTTATAATGAATATTTGGCTTTTTTTTCCTGAATTATGTTTAGTTTAGACCTTTTCAATATTTTTTCTTCATTAATACATGTAATTATTCTTCTTACTCTCAAATGTTTCTGTTTTTATAATTTCAGATACAGATAGTCCTCAAACCAAATCTTTGGCATTAACCAAGCAAGCTGAAGCAGCACATTGGAATGTGGTTCTGATGTCACTGTCATGCCACTAACTTAGATTTTATGAAAACATTGCTGACCAAATTAGCCTGGAAAATGTTATTCTTATAGCTACTGAGCTGCAAGCTTTTATGATCAGTTTTAAAGTGAATAAAATGTAGCTACCAAAATAAAGTTGGATATACATGTAGTTTATGTTTTTTTTTCTCTAAATATCTCATGCCTTTTTAAGGTGTTCCATATATGAACTAATGCTATAAATTAGTCTGACAACTGAATTCTGGTTATTAGACAGTACCATTGCCTTCTTGAAAATAAAATACAGGCACGCAATTTTTGCCGCGAAAAATTGGCTCAAAGAAAAAATCTGCCAGTGCTAGCCCTGTAACATGTAGTGCTAGAAAATAAATACAAATGTATGTTACATTACTGGTCTGTCTGAATTTTCATGCTGTAAAGTATACTTTTCTTTTGTTGTTTTGTGTTTACTCTTTTTTACAACATTTACACATGTTAATTAAAAAATATTTTTACTTTTTCATCAAAAGAACATGACATAATTTAAACACAGAAAAATAGTTTATGCAGAACAGCGGTCTGCAGCTGAGAAGTCTACAAATTATTGTTTTAATCTTGATATCTCTACATAGGAATTTAAGACAGTTGATTATCTATTTTTTTCTTAAAGCTATTATTACTGTGTAGAAATTTTATTCTGATGCTGATATTCTTTTTTAAATCAAATTATTGTTTACTGTAATAAATCAGGGTCTTTCAAATAGATTTGAATGACCCTGAATAAATGAAATCACCTGATTAGTTGGCTTACTTTGCAATTTAGAATTACATGTAATAAATTTCGTAAGATGCTTTTTCAAAGTCACTTATGTTTCCAGTCTGTTCTACTACAACAGCACAAACATATTTTCCACCAGTAATTAACTTAGAAATTTTGAAATACATGTATATGCACAGTCAGCACAGACTGTTTCCATTTTCATGTTAACCTAATATTAGTCCTTGTAGAAGTCATAAGGCAAATACCTATGCTTTACAAATAATAAGGATTTGGTATTTATTAATATTGAATTTACCTTTCAAATTTAAACATCTTTTATTTTTCAATAGCATGCACCGTTGAACATCTTGCTACAGAAAAAGGGTATTGTCCTTACCAAATTGCATAATTCCATACTGCTCAAATTCGCAAAAAAACTAACCAACATTTGCAAAAAAATTCCTACAAAACACTATATGAAATATATTTCAGTTGTTTAAAGTATCATAGATCTAAATGTGTAATACACACAAGTTGACCTTTGACAGGTGCATAATAGGCTATTCAAAAGAATATGCCTTCCTTTGATGTTGTTACTTTATCACCATCAAAGAGCCGCCGACGTTCACACTTTTTGGTTGAAGTTCTGTCAGCATTCTTTTGTTAAGAAAATGTGTACATGTTTAATAATAGTTCAGTGTTACACCAAAAACAAAAGGAGGCATATTTTGTTGGAATATTTCGGCCTCATTTATGTTCAAATCGTAATTCACGTGTGGATTTGTACATGTGGTAATGGATGAAAAGAACCTGGAAACATTAAATATGTATTCATTATGAGTGTTTAGAGACTAAACTGAAAAAAGGATTTAATTATTTTTAAAAGCATAGTTTGAATAAACAATTGTCATATGTTGGATTAACATTGTCATTACGGCAAAAGCTGTGTGCGATGTGTTTGGAAGGACTGTGTGCGATGTGCCGATGATCACTCAAGTATTTGATTAAAAATTTTGTTTTCTCGTTGTTTCTTTGACATTTAAAACTTACAAACTTTTACCAAAATCAGTTCAAATAATTATATTTTCCTGCCGAGTACAAAAATATTATTATCTTGAACAAAAGCGGCACAATACTTTTACAAAAATATCGCCGCGTCACAAACTTCAACTTTGCTGCGAAAGCCGTACTCGCCGCATGATAATAGTAATTCATAGTTTGTTTTACGTGTTTGTAGGCTGTTTTTATTTAAAAATCTTCTTATTTTTTTGACATATTGACTATTAAATTATTTTTTTTACAAATTTACAAAAGTATCAAATCCAGTACCGGTATTTTACGAAACGGTATATACCGGTAATTTACGAAGTTACTATTCGGTATAGGACCGATACCGGGAACCGGTGTCCAACCCTAGCTAGGACACACTGTATTGGCTAGCCGTACGGCACTTTTCAAAATTATAATGATAGTCAAATATGCATAATTATGTTCTTTGTGTCTTTAAACCGGGAATTTAACCAAGTACCCGCATATGTCCTTGAGTGTTTCCTTTAATAAAGATGTTCTGCCATTTTGTAAAAAAAGAATGAACAGAAGGTAGGAAATGCAAGCGTTGTTAAATCTTGATAAAAGTGTCAAAGTTTCATGACACATTAGACTTAGTACATGCAAAGTTATATTTATGATTAAATAATTCATTTGTTTGAAAGATGAGTAATGCAATCATTTTTGTAAATTAAGCACATTGAATAAATAATGATAATGGCCAAAGAAGCTTGTTTCATAACGGCATGATCGGAGTGGAATAAATAAATAAAACAATGGCCCTGAGGTCGCTCACCTGTATATAGGCCCCCAGAGCAGGGCAAGTTTAAACCCCAGGGCTTTTACTTGAACAAACTTGGTAGACACTCATTAGAACATGTTTCATGCTTAATATCTTAGCTCTAGCTCTATGGGTTCTTTAAAAGAAGATTTTTTAAGTTTTTACTATATGCATATAGAGAAAATCAATGACCCCCTGGGGCAGGGTCAATTTTGATCCCAGGGCTTTTATTTGAACAAACTTGGTAGACACTTATTAGAAGATGTTTCATGCTAAATATCTTAGCTCTAGCTCTATGGGTTCTTTAAAAGAATTTTTTTCAAGTTTTTACTATATGCATATAGGGAAAATCAATGACCCCCGGGGGCGGGGCCAATTTTGACCCCAAGGCTTTTATTTGAACAAACTTGGTAGACACTTATTAGAAGAAGTTTCATGCTAAATATCTTAGCTTTAGCTCTATGGGTTCTTTAAAAGAAGATTTTTTAAGTTTGTTCTTTATGCATATAGGAAAAATCAATGACCCCCTTGGGCGGGTTCAATTTTGACCCCAGGGCTTTTATTTGAACAAACTTGGTAGACACTCACTAGAAGATGTTTCATGCCAAATATCTAAGCTCTAGCTCTTTGGGTGTTTTAAAAGAAGATATTTATTTTTTTTTCTTTCGATTGCCATGGCAACCAGAGTTCTGCATGGAATTAAATTCTTTGAACAATTTTTTAAAGGTGACCACCAAAGGAACATTCCTGTGAAGTTTGGATGAAATTGGCTTCGTAGTTTATGAGGAGATGTCATTTAAAGTAAAAGTTTACGGACGGACGACGGACGAACGACGGTTCAAACGAATGGGTGCTTCTTTTGTTTAAAGGTACCCAACAAGAGAACATAAGTACCCAACAATACTGACGGAATGAATGAACTAGTGTCCTCTAGTGTGTTGGAGGTACCCAACAAGTATCCTCTTGTTTGCCCAGACGGACGGATGACGGACGGACGCCGGACGAAAAGCGATCACAAAAGTTCACTCTGTCACTTTGGACAGGTGAGCTAAAAATAAACAAAGGGCAATAACTCCAGAATTAGGCAAGGCAGAGTTATGATTCTTGTGCACTGGTAGACACCACAAGAGTAAGTCGACAGAAATCTTACCGTTGAATTTTTGGGAAAATTACCCGACTGAACGGCAGTTTATTCGAAATGAATGAGTATTGCGCATGAATGAATATTGTTTTGTATTGCGCATACAAATATAGTTTTTAATATAATACAATTAAATTATTATTTGCAATAACTGTTCAATCAAAACATCATACGTAACTATAACAAATAGTTTTTTTCAGAATTGTCAAATTCTCAATTCATACGAACTGACGCAGATTTAACAGATAACTGACAAACTTTCTAATAAATTTGTAAAAATTCTCGTCAAATGTACGTTAGTTCATTTAGATAACCAAACAGTATTAATCAATTGCAAAATGACAGTATCAAAACATCACGTGTGTAATAATCTATGCTAAACATTTGAGTCATTGCCTAGATACCCTAGCTCCTGATCTTCAATATTGATTATTATAAATGGCTAAATAAAACTTTTGCACCAAAAACAACGTGCAACAGTTTTTATATTTACAACCACAAAACCATTCGGCGAGTTAACAACGGATTTCCCGCAGTAAATACTTAATGCTAGTGAGATTTATCGAAAAGTTTTAGCGGTGTAAAACAAAAAACGTTGATATGTGTAGGAATTCATAAGCGTTATGTATTTAAAACATACATTTTTGTGATCAATTTTCTCTTAAATTAATTCTATTTGGAATAAGCTTTGCAGGTATGTATTTTTTTCAAGAATTATTGAGTTTAAATAACTTTTTGAAGCCGTCAAAGTAAGCGACAAGATTCTGCTCCCTGGCACATACACATAGAAGGAAAACTTTCCGCATTGTTTTGAATCGTAAGTTGGTTGTGCAAGAAGGCAACCATCGTCTATATAATATAAAGCCCTAAAGTGCAAAATTTGTTGGGCTAACCCAGGGACTGAAAATAGAATTTTAGAATGCGTTTCACAGAACATGCAAGATTTCCTTAAAGATAGACAAACTTCTATTGTGGGTAATTGACGCAATTATCAGAGCTCAACAACAATTATATCCGGTGCTTTTTCCATTTTTAAAGGTGTTGAAAATTAAACTTGTATCATAGTTTGGGTACCTTTCAGTTGAAAATGTGTCAGAGTTAAATCGCATACATATACATGCATAGTGCGTTAACTGGAGTGCAGGACTATTAGTTACCCGCACTCCAGAGCATGCCCATTGATTGGTTCATTTTTGCTGGGGTTTACATATTGTGACGGCAAAGAAAGGGAAAGAGACAGAAATATCATATAGATGTTCGTTTATATTATAGGTTCCTTTTTGCCGGGGTTTCCATATTGTGACAACAGGGAACGTGTTTTTATGTTTGACTATGATACAAAAGAGAAAGAACATCAAAACACTCAGCAAATCTGATTAATACTCAGGGACTACGCACCCTCGTACAAATCAGATTGCCTCGTGTTTCGATGCTCTTTCTATT